CAACATATTTTAAACAAACTGATAAAATAATCCCAATAGGATGTTAAATGGTTTTAGGTAATTGGCAAGAAATTCTGTGCCTAGGTGTTGAGCAAGTCGGGACTAAGTTAATAAGGCGCAACTATCTGTAGGATTCAAATCTTCATCATCCAGTTCCACAATCTGAGATGTTACCATTAAGTTATTCAGGACATTTACGACTAATTGATCACTGAGTATTGACCAATATTTGTCTAGTCCTATAGCACCGATCGAATTCTATCTATCAAGATAATAAATGTTGGTTAAGGAAATAACAATCAAAATCGAACAAATAAAAAGAGTAACTAAATGAATCTCATAGTTAAAGCATCTTAATATTGAAATCAAATAGGTTTAATAGGAGAAACACTCTAAAGTATAAATTCTCTAAGCACTATGGTTTCATGTAAATTTACGTTTTCAAGGATGTAAACAATCTAGTTTTATATTGAAGTTATTTGCGAACAGCCCCCAAATGCCCTGGCACGGCCGAGACTGGGGAGAGTCAGCTCTCCTCCTCGAAATGATCTCAAGTGGACACGAGTATACAACCAATGACACACAAGTCCAAAACACTGCATTACTGTTGTTTACGGAATTGAGAGAACGAAAAGAGAATGTCCGGCTCTCTAACCGGGTTCGTGGTTATAGAGGATCTACATAGGAGAGTTGAAAAACCCTCATTCCAAACCAATAGTGCATATGGGCTCCTGGATTCTGAGAGAACAAATGGCGTATAAACCAATCGTTGATCACTGGCTAGCATCAAATTGCATCTCCCAATGTTGCTCTACTGCCATGTGGATTAGACCTTTAGGTCAGAGGCTCCGGGTGTGGCCTCCTACGAAAACTACCTGCTTCGGTTTGGGCACACCAGCCCTCACGCAAATCGAATAATTCATGTGGCGCATATCTATTTAGTGCCTCATTGTACCAATGTTTATGTGTTTAAGTAAAGAAATATTTGGGAATGTGATATTTTCCCAATATGTCTACGGATCCTCTCTAATGTAAATGTGACATCACCTTTTATTTAACTGAATGCTTCTAAGTAGTACATATGCATTGTTTATTAGAATTCTGGAAAGTAAGTTGCATAATATGATCTCAACATTACGAATGACCCATAATAAATAAAAAGTTTTTCAAGATGGTCTCTGTATTCTGTTCACTTTATCGTAGCTAATTAATTTTAGTGGTTAGTTATTATCAATAGTGTCTGTAATTGCACATTCAATGAATGGGATTAAATAACCAACTGATTCATTTAGATTTCTACTGAACTAAATAAAATTGTGAGACTTACTGACGAAATTAAATAAAGATTGCACTATACGAGATAGATTGACTTAAGATGAAAATATCAGGTATTTGCTTATAACTAATTGTTCATCGCCGAACTTGAAGGTAGTATGGTTAGTTCTATGCAATACCAAAGTATAACAAATTAGAAGGAAACAGTTTCTGTTGCCGTCTGATCTTTAGTTTTGGTATCAGTTTATGATAATAAACATGATACTCTGTATGGAAATCTTTGAAAATTCACCCTAGTAAATAATTATCAATAGATTAGTTCAATTGTATTATACGTCAGATGCGTGAAACTGGGTCACTTAAAACTGTTTATAATCGAGCATATCATAGGAGTCAGTAATGAACTATTAGTGTTGTGTTTGTCTTCATGTAAGATTGAGATGCTTACAAATTAATTGGTTTTACTGACGAATGCCAACGTAGAACTTCGTACGTACATATATCAGTTCAAGTTACTATAACACAGAGATACAAATGTCGATTCAAATCCCATAGTGATAGAAGTAGTAAGAGTGTAACCAGTAATCGGAAAGACAAGGGTTTGAAGATGTTAGTCAACAAGTATAATCAAGTGAAATAAACTTGGAAAGCGAAAAAAAGGGACACGAAGGATTCAGAAGATTATAATTTGGGAGGTCACAAGGAGTAGGTGCACCTGCACTATTACAAACGATTTTGAGCCATGTCATTCAAGGTCTCTAACTATCGGTTGCCATCGTCTCGCGGATCCCAACCAGCTGGTCTACACCTACCAACATGACTCAGTCCACTTGTCAGTGACTTCATGGATGTAAGCCATGTTTTGATTTGGCCGCTTCTAGCTTTATTTCAACCTACTCCTACACCATAAAAAATCACACGTCGGAGCAGTCGGTGGTTCGGCATACGTAACACATATCCCAGCCATCTCAACTGATGAAGTTTCACTCCCCTACGACTACTATCACGAATGCCAACTAGTTTTCTGGTGTTGTTGACTCCAACCATTTATTATCAAATAAAGTTTACAGTAGTAATATTGAGTCAGTTTATTTAGTATAATATAGCAGTATACATAATTCAATTGGTTCATCAGATTATTTATTGTTTAAAATACACAAGTTATTGTTCTAATCCTAAAAATAAACACTAACAACAATAGAGATTATAAAGTAATTGACTGCAGTTAACATCTTTTCTATTTTAAGTACTAGGTTTTCCAGTAAATAAAAGGGATGTTTTATGATTTACAAACTGGGAATCTGCTGAAGACCATAGAACACTAGATACTTGTTTCTATCCAACCTGACATTTCACAGCAATGTAAACTTACAGAATTACCAGGGGTTGAAACCAGTTCCTTTAGGTTACGTAGTGAGGAGACGTTATCTTCAGTACAAAATCCAGTAATCTGCTTGTCCAAACTCAATTAATTCATGCTTATTGTCCTCTGATGCTCAATAGTATATGAAGGAAATATTTTAGACCTGAATTAATCACTATAAATAACTTAAATAAGTTGATATGTTAGTTACATGGCTTTTATTATATTAGCAAATGTGTTATTTGTACTTCTATCTAACAGTCGGTCCGTCAGTAACAACGTGGAACTTCGTACGTGCGTACATCTTCTATCTAACAAGTCTGTAGGAGTGTCGTAAGTTACTATTCAAATAAACTAACTACTTTTATACTGCTATGTACTCTCTTGCTAACTAACTACTTAATTAGTTTGGTAAGTGTTTCATCTTATTGATTATTATTACCTATAGGAACGAGAGAGTTCACTGATAAGAACCAGAGATGAGTGTGAAGTAAAAGAAACTGCATTGTATTTGATAATGAAACTCCAGTTAGTGTCAACCAGTTGAACAGTGAGAGAGGCAACAAGAAGTATCTATTCAGTTTCAAGAAACACCGACATAAACTGTACGATCGTGTACATGGTTAGTTCACACTGTGTTGATCTAATTGTGATACCTAAGTTGTAAGAATTTTCTCGATTTATGAAATGGGTATTCTTCCTTTTAAACAAATTATGAAATTGAGGAAACTGAATTCACAGCCACATACATGTAACGGTTCAAGCCGTGACAAATAGGCATTATCAAAGCAATTCGCTCAAGATGAACAGATGCCAAGTAATTTGACCACGATTCAGTCCCGAATATTAACAACGGGATAACTCAAGCTCTTTCTAGAAATAACGTAGTTAATGACTTCATGGACTGATGCCAGGTCTTGGTTTGACCACCTACACATTTATTTCACTCAACATCTACATCCGTTTACATTGTCAATCGAGGTAGGCAGTCGTTGTACATACGTAATATACACTTATGTATTTTTCGAGTAATTTAAATTAAAATGCATTATTTCTGTTGTCACTGGAATAACGATTTATACGAGTTTTAGTGAATATACAATCGTTTTCTTTAAGAGATTGTATTTAATTACTTTTGAACACCGATTACCACGTCGTGCAATGCTAACCGGTGTTGGATGGAAATTAGGGGCGGCCAAACCAAAACGTGGCATCAGTGCTTGAAGTCACTAACCTCTAGTCTGAGCCATGTTGGTAGATACAGACTACTTGGTTGGGGTCCGCGTGACTTTCGTAACCAATGGTTGGAGACTCTTGGTGACATGGCTCAGAATCAATCACAATGGCGTAAGTGTATACACTCTTTGTCTTCCCTTAAATTGCGAGATTAAAATCGTTTCATATCTTTCTTTCTACGAACTAATTCTTCATTCCTGTACCATATCCTTATATGCAATCTTTATTTCATATATTGCCACCATTGTATTAACTACTGTGAATCCGATGTTCATCTTGTTGTGCTAATGCGGTATGGCAACCTGGACCGGTGCATATATGTGCCTGGTCCTACGTTGTAGCTGACTGACTAATTTAAATACTTTATAGTGAACATGGTTACCTCCTAATGATGTGAAGTGGCTAAATACTCTCATCAACGATAATGTATGTTCATGGGAGAGGGAAGAGTTACGCGGAAAAGCATCAAAAGCAAAAACTTTATATCGGAATTTCACTGCTAGATTTTATTCTCCGTAACTAAGAAAGATTTCCTTCTATAAAGTTGTTTAGAGAAGCATATTAAAAGTATTTTGAGATTGGCTACTCTGGATAATAACTTAGTCCCTACACCTGGACTACAGCTTGACCATCCTGCCTAGTAAGTTATCAAATAGACAAAAACTAATGTGTAAACACACTTACTTCGAAGATAAGACTTGAGTACCAGATATGGTTTACTTTCCGTCAACGAAGATAAAAGTATAACCATAAAAACACGTCTCGAGTAATGGTTATCTTGTCAAGAATCTCGTTAGATGTACCGAGACCTATTCTGCTTATAAACCAATGATCACTTCTAATTTGCTTCACAGTAGAAACATCTAACCCCAAATATTAGTAAGTAAAGGACTTGATCAATTTAGTCCGGATTCACAAAAACATGACCAACTTGATCTTTTCATGCGTAACGCGATGACAGACATGGACCAGTTAGTTGGGGTCCGCCAGATTATGGTAACATAGAATCTGGTAGCAGGTGTCTTCACTCCTTATTTTTCTAAACGAAACTTGAATGCCGAAATCTCCCTACACTTTTTTCCTTTTCCATCAAATCTACCAACTACTGTCATAACAATTACAAGATATAACAATAAGCAGTGTTTATTGAAATGCGGGAATGATTGATTAATATAGGATGATACATGCGTAGCAAAATTTATCCACCGGTGATTATCATCAATGTAACAAAAATAGTAGAAATACAAGCAGTTACAAAAAACACCCCAAGCAAATATCAGTGTTCATTTGAAGGCGTTAGGGTAGTCGTTTATAATTGCGAATGGCAGTAACGTCACCAACAGTCACAGTCTAAAAGGGAATACATATTAGGAGTGAGAAAATATCAGTTACCGTTTTCATAGTATCACCATCTACTTCACGAACGATTACAGTTGTGTTTTTGGGATCTACTTGAGTTTGCGTTAACTTCGACTCGGAATTTTTTTCAACAACTGACTACAAGGGAAAAAAGCAAATAATAGGAGTGAAAATATTATTCTTTCATTGGGATAAAAACGCGTTTGGTAATTGCTGACTATGGCAGTAAGAATGTAGTGCAATGAGTATTTCTGGGTTTTTGGTCTTTAGGTTATGGGTTACAGCTACTCCCTAACATATATATTTTGAAATTAAATCTACTTGTATCGTCTCATTTACCGTTTTGGTGACTTACGTGTTCGTGTGTGATGATTGAAATCGAAAGAAATAACCTCGACAATACATGCAACTACTTGTGGAAGGCTTTGACATTAAGCTGATGTCTGAATAATGGTTTACTCTACATCACTGATCAGCTCTGAACCTAATAATAATAGGTTGGCTATTGGAGAATCAAAGAAAGAACATGTAAAAGGGCAAATCAACTGATAAGTACACACAAGTACTTGATTTGGTGACTATAAGTCACGGTTTAGATATGAAGGAACGAATGACCAATTAGATTAATCCCCATGAATTTACATATGATCAAACGAATGTCTAATAATTTAGCTATTGTTTCTTAGTAACTATTAGATCTTTAAAGCACATACACACCGAGAAGTCAAAAGTTTATTTACCTTGACGTTTCTGCCATCACTTGTTTTTTCTTCGAATTCCTCGCCGAACTTGAACGTACAAGAAAGATTTTTGAAAGTTGACTCTGTTAACATGGTCATTTTATCCCCATCCATTGTGAAGGTTACAGTCGGTGTCACTGTGTTCCCAATCTGTCGAGTTGCCCATGAGACACCTAAAAGGAAGATATAACTAAATTAAAAACCTTTATTTAGTTGATGAAAAAATACTATGAAAGTATATAGAGAAAAAAGCGAAAAGATGATGTGGTCAACACAAAAGCAACGTCATACTTTTAAAATCTAACCAATGAACGCAACAAACGAACAATGTATGCAGATAAGTTTTAAGAATTAAAAACAGTTGCATCGTACATGAGTGAAGGTTTTGCTGTGTAGACGTTATTTACACTGAGAAATAACACAGAAACCCCTGATCAAGAAGCAGTCGTTCCCTAATTAGACTACCGATAGGAAAGTTTGTGAATTTTCAGTTGGATTAACCTCTGAGATTTCCCACAGACATACTTGATTTTGGTCTTCACTATGATTAGTTCCTTTACGATTTAATTACCGAAGTAATACTTCATTTTGAATAAAGAAAAAAGTTAGATGGTTGTATGCTGTGGACATGCACGGGTCACTCCCGAACCACACAAGACATACAATAACACGGTTTTGGAAAATCAAAGATGAACATCATTTCTACAACTAAGAGGAACATGATACTAGAAACATGAGTGACAGCAAAAATCATAAGTATCTTACATTCGCCCGAAGATGTATAAAACCGTAAACTTTAACAATATGTAGTTACCTAGCTTTGACATGACAGCATCGAAGTTGTGTGACTCGCTAAGTTTCCATTTTCCCAAGAAAGAAGACATTGTTTTCGACTAGTGTGATGCTTCTGAAGTGCTTGAACGGTCACCGACTTTTAGCTTATTGTAAATTTGATGATCTGGTGAAGGATCTGTAAAATACAAAAAGTCCAGACGAAGATAATAGTTCAGATATTACTAAATTCATCATAATAGAGACAAAACTCTTGCAGAGGTATCAAACGCAGATCTTAATCCGAAGTGATCAGTGTCAGCTCCTTTCCTGCCTAACAAAAACTTAGTAGTCATATTATTTTCAAGGTAATTGCAATGGGATACAGAAGAGCTACTGACCATGCATACAACAAGACCGTCTGTGAAAATTTATCAGTAGCAACAATAATGAATGAAATATTAAATAACGATTCATAAGAGCTTCCCCCGATGGTATGTTGTGAAGGGTGGTACACAATTACTGAATGAAGGGTTAGCTAAATAGGTGACCATGGCTTCGCCGCTTAACTGATTTGGATAAACTTATTGTACACGACTATGCTTATTATTAAGTGTATGTAGATTGCATATTCAGTACTTGATGACAGTGTGGTTATGTGAACGTCTTCAGTAAGGCTCAGCAGAGAAGTCCAAGCTTGAAACAATAAACTAAACCAAAACCTGCAACAACACATACCTACCCACCTAACTCCCTGACTCACTCAAGATTGATTAGACGCCAAAGCTGTTACTCCTCAATTTGTCCTTGTAAACTTATGTGTAAAAACAATTGTCCAATTTCACTTTTCAATATCAAAAATGAACTTGGTCACTTTTGAGAAGATAAAGCTTACGGCTAACCGACTTGTACTAATCAAGATTAATAGTTCTTTGCACCACGTTTGAAGGAAATATGTCAAGTATTAGTGGAATATTATTGTGAGACGCTCTGTCTTTTATTTACGTATTTATAGTCTGTTAAATAGCTGAGTTTTACAAATATACTATACCATTTGATTTTCTTAACAATTACCGGAGACCCACGTTTCGTTCCAATGCTCAGATGGTTTTACTTCAATGGTCTGTTAATGTTCATGTTTTGTTAATTATATCAAATATTCACTCGTGATACTCTGGTGTTCAGTGCTGTTCGATTAATCGACAAATCGAAAATATGAGGTTCCAGTTTTTGTTTTTCTTACTTCTTTGGTTTTGGGACAACACTTTAACTGCTACTGATTAAGTGGACGTTACGTCGCACGTAAGTACTCTCAGTGGTATAGCATCATAATAGAATGTTATGTTGATATTTATTACAATAATAAAATGATTACTTTGTCTGTGAGGATTTTCACTCTTGAGAACTAACGGCAAGACTTCAGGCAATAAAAAAACGAGACCAACTATTTAAAATTTTGCCCACAACTGAAGCATGAACTGATACAAGGTAAAAGCACATATCACATGCATCCACTTGCATTTGCTCTGCTACTTTGAAAAACTGATGTCGACAGTGCTGCATGCTTTGTACTCAAGCATCAAACAACGTTTTTACCCTATGAGGCAACCATGAACTTCTGACCTCCCAAGTAGTGCTTTTGATATAATTTTCTGTATACCGGACCTATCGTAGCATTGTTCTAATGCAGCTTCGTTGCCTTAGCTATATAAGTTTACTGAATTGTTTCGTCACGTCTCCCCTTAGCTAACCAAGTAGGAACCAGCATAGCCAAGTCCCAATCAGTGTGACGACAAATTACTAAATTAGTATCTTGCAAGTACACCAAACACTATCTTGAATAACTAACTTTCATGTTCCTCCATGTACAGGCGGATTGTAGATATAACTCAATAGAAAACAGTAGTAAGACACATCATGGAGCTCAGACCCGGTAACTAATATAGCACTGCCTTCCTTGACCCGGAATGGATTATAGGCTTATTTCTCAATTTGCTAAGATTGTAACGACAAGCCAAATCATGTTTACGATATTCTTAGTTTCCCGAACGACGTGATAATCGGCTATGCTCTCCACATACACTACTTGTCAGTCGTACTATACTTTAACTACAGCGGATGTTGACTTCACTTTTTTGAAGATACTTGTGGTCTCAAATCACACAGAACCTCGAATCTCTTTACCGATGCTCAACATTTACCCATTACAATAATATTGATAGGCCCACACACGTTCGTCACAGAACAACTCTCGTTGATATAGCCTTTATTTGTTCATAAAAATCAGCCAATTGAATCCATAACTAACTGGTGAAATAAAGAATGAGGAAATTATCACAATGATTAGTAGGAACAAATTCAAATTAGTGAAGTATCCACAGACAATCCAGGTACTTGTTCTTGAGTAGCATTAGCTACCCATTAAGCCTATCGGGCTCGATGTATTTTAATTGTACTTGAAGGATCCATCGTAACGACTACAAACACCCGGGTTCTAGAACCGAGATTCTTGCCAAACAAAGACTACGGCTCTACTCTGCTGGATAGATACATTTAATCCATTCAAGGAGGAATAATCAAAGTTTGCAAAATTATTGATCAAAATTAATGACCAGAGACAAAATTGTATCCAAAAGAGAATCTATATCGGTCAATTCAAGCAAGTTCAATCTAAGAGCAGTGAACCAATATGGCAGCCACCAAAATCAGTGTTCGTGTAAGAAATGAGTTAATAGTCAGAGAGTACTGAATTAAGAATGACAGTTGAGAAAGCGCAAGCATATTTAAATATCAGGAAAAATATTCTTAGATCACAGAATTAACCTGATGGATAGAAAATTAATGAAAAAGATGACAAACATTATGACCGTGGAGGGACGAAATGCTGATGTCATATAGCATGCATGTATTTGATATTTCCAAATCCCACATAAACACACACATAGGAACAGATCTTAAATTATCTGCTCTTCGGAAATGAATCAGTGGGTATCTAAACGCTGTGTTTTGGGAAACCACGATATGCTCACGCCCATCGTTTTCTGTTGTTTTCCGAAGGCCTCGTTCTCGGCAGGACAAGCTTAGTCAATCAACCGATTTAAACAGAAAGAGTCTCTTTCGATTTTCAGTGGGGTACAAATGGATCTGATGCCGTTGGCCTAGCTCAGTCGTAATAACATTTTATCTATCCGTGCTAACATCTTTCTTTTAGCAACGATGTTTGTAGTCTGTCCAGTGGTTTCACGAGTCATGGTTGTATCCCAGAGTAATTGAGGATATGTAGAATTATGGTCTACTATTATATTAGTACTGCTCTAATAATAGGCTTAATCCTACAACTGCAGATTTGTCATGATGTAACTGCCTAATCTATAAGGTCGCACGTGGATGTCACATACAGTCTACCTCGACTCGTTGTATTCTAACAACCATAAATATATGATGAAGAACACATTTAGGCTGGAGATAGGACAATATATTTACTATGAGTAAAAGTAAGTTGTACAGAGCGACCACGTCTGCGAGGCTGAGCCATGCCACCCGACAAATCAATTGATTCAATTCCTTCTTTCTGCCTTCTCCATCGTTGTTTTTCTCTGCGTTAAATGTTGAATATCTATTTCCCCAAATATCTCGTGTTCAGCTCTGAGGATTGTGTGGTTAGGGCTTAATGCCACTACAGATATACAGTGAAGGTGTTAAAATAATTGGTTGTATTATTGTTATAGTGAAGACTTTAACTAAGCAAGTTCTACTGCCAAAGTGACTGAACTTTTTTTGTTTCTGAAAAAAAAGTGCTTTATTATTTATTCATCTGTCCTGGTATGACTGGAAGTAGTAGTTAGCTTACTTGTTCACAGTCCGTCAGTCAAACATACAAACGAAGTAAATTTGAATGTCATCAACCAGTACTTCCACCGCCAAAAACCCAAATTCTTTTGTGGACATTAGAGATTGAGTGCCATTTTAAAATGTTAAACAGTTCAAGCGATTGGTTGCTTATGACTTGAAAGGGTGAAATCACGTAAACCAAAAGTAACACAAACTGATCTAAAGGACAAGATCAATTGTTGTTTATATGCTACAATCACATTGGAATTGTAAGTCAACGGAAACTATAACGCAATGTCCACAAATAGCAAATGTACGGATCTAAGAAGACTTTCGTGCCTTAAAGTAACCCTCGTGCTATTGATAGAAGAAACCAGACAAGTAGTGAATAGGTCTTTATTTCGATCTTAGCGCGGTGACAGTGGAGCATGGGATTATCTGTTCAGACAAACAAAGGCTCTCAACAGTCAATATAAGATATTAGGGAATATAACGGTTATACAAAACAAGGAAGTGAATGAATACTTGAACAATACTGTTTTGGCATATGCTTGGTTGTTTGGGGTCAACTATGAACCAACCAACCAAAGCTGTTACATTAGCTTCCCCCTAGAATCGACTTCCTTAGGAACGTCGGTTCGATGAACCTAACTATCATCCCAAGGGAAAATTATCAACTCGCTCACTATTTGATTTACAATCAGTGACGACTGACGCTGTCAACGATAGTCCATGGATGTCTCTTCATTTACTAGCTTGTCATTTTATTTTGTAGCATGTGATTTCTTCTACAACTATCGCCGATGGTTTGCTGCTTGCTTTCAAGAGAAAGTTTGAGAATGTGGAATAAGAATATCTGAGGAAGTGCCGCGAGCGGGCTACTCAAAACCATGTTGGTGAGGTACGATTTTTCCGTGCTCAGACCGGCTATCAGGTGTTTACTCACCTGCCTCTTGAGTCGCCCTCAAGTAAAAAGTAAAGAAGAATCTACTTCAAAGGTAATGGTGAAAATCAAGCAAACCTGAAGAACTGCTCCACTGCCTGCATAAAATAATAAGACACAAAATGGAAATACATAAATGTAATTGATAAATGTTCGGTTCCATGTAAGTGCTTGGTCTCCAGAACGGATTGGTATTCTGGAAGAGAATAGACACAGTGTAGATATCTTGTGCACGAAAAACCATGAAAACAAAAAAATACTTTTTCGTAATGCATATATGTAAAAGGGTGAACTTGCTAGAAGTTGGACTCTTTAACAAAATCGATCAAACGCATGACCTTGAGCCTGTGATGACCGCGTTTAACAACTAGGTGCGTAATCAAGGGTGCATCAGAATACTGCACAAAACGGAAAAGAATATACGGTTAAGAAGCAAAAAAAAATTGTGTAGAGTATGCGGATCAAGTACAGTTGTGTCAAATACCCGTTTCTTGTTCGATTTAGGTATGCATGATATGTTGAAGCAATATATCGTTAATTCATCCAAGTAACGAATTGGTTTGCACCTCAGAAGTGTGTAAGTCCTATTACTCATTAGTATTATGAGTGATTAATTGGTGTAAGGAAATATTGAAGTCTCTTCCTCAGTGGTCTGATGTGGCTTAACGGCTAAGCACGCGGTCTAGCATTCAGGAGGGCAGAGGTTCGAGTGCGTGTGGGGCCTGCGTTTTTGTTCACCAGACCCACTTTCAATACGATGTTTGTTGCTCGTAAGTCGCGCACATATGAGAGAAAAAATGACAAGAGGACAGATTGATATATCAAAGTGCCATATTGGAAAAGTATAAGTCCTTTGTTTACATGAATATTATTACTATAGAAAAAAAAACTACAAGTCTAGTAAATTTCCATTATACGTTATATTTAAATCAAAGAATATATATATATATATATCAGTTATTGACATAAAATGTCTTTTTTATAACGCTAATGTTAAGTTCCAGGACTTTGTATGGGCCACTAATAATAATTGGTTTAACGTTAGCATAGTCGTGATATTCATATTGTCAGTTCAATGTTATGATTACTAAACAGTTTCCTTATAAGCTGTTTAAAATTAGGTATGTGGAATCAATGCGGCTGACATAGTAACCTTACAGTAACGCACTGTACTATATCTTCACGGTTATT